CCCAATGGGGACCCCAAGTGGCTTACAGCTTCATTGTCATATCTTCCCTGCTTTGAACAGCAACAAGAAAAAAGAACAAAAAACCCCACACTTTTTTCTTTTCTAAGCTGTGGAGTCTTGGGAGCAAAAATTCTGCTTTGTGAGCTACTGGCATTAAAGTTGTGAGTGAGCAATTTGGCTTCTGCATAAATCAGTTTGCTCTGGAGCCCTCCTTCCTGAGCTGAGACAAAAATGTGTGAGCTGGAGGCTAAAAAACTGTGAGCTAGCTCACACCAACTCAGCTTAGAGGGAACACTGCTACCCACCCGAAACCACACTCGATATAGTGGATGCCTGACAGCATTATCCACCGCGGGGTGAGGTATCTCTGGGTGCTAGGGTCTTTGGCCCAATCTTCATCTTGCATTTGCTCTGTAGTTTTACCAAACCCATGCTGGACACAGACATTCCCCTCTGCATGGCATGCCACTTTCACTTTGATTGATTGTCGGATTTTATGGCAGTGTCCAGACTGCGCGTCATCGTCTGCATAGATTTATGGTTGTTTTATGGCCATTCTGGGGTGACTCTGCAGTCAGTACAGCTTGGCCCAGGATATTTAAACCTGGTTTTGAGCCGCATCTTTTTCTGTTCCGGTGTGGATTTGGTAAAACAGCAGAGGAGGAGGATGAGAAATGATTTATACCCCGGCCTTCACTACCTGAAGGAGTCTCAGAGCGGCTTACAAACCCCTTTCCCTTCCCCTCCCCACAACAGACACCCTGTGAGGTAGGCGGGGCCGAGAGAGCTCTGACAGAAACGGCTCTTTTTCAAGGACAGCTCTGACAGAACTACGGCTTGCCCAAGGTCACCCAGCCAGGTGCAAGTGGAGGAGTGGGGAATCAAACCCGGTTCTCCCAGATTAGAGTCCGCACACTTAACCACGACACCAAATGCTAGATGCAGATTGGGCCTTTGTCTCCATCTCAGGTCCTGATCTCGAGATGTGTTCTTTGGCTATAAAAAGCAGTCAGTGGGGGGAACCGATATAAGCACCAGGGAAGGGGGGAACTTCCACTCGTGACCGGGGCTATTTTAGGGCAGGAACGCACAGGAACGGAGTTCCGGCTGGCTTCAGAGTTGGCCACACCCACTACAACCAAATCCTCCACGTGCCTGGCTACAGAGGGAAGGCCTGGAGAGTGACCCCCCCCCCGGCAACTCTGAGGCGGGCAGGCCAGGGGGGTCCCTGGAAGGATCAGGGAGGTGTTTAAATGCCTCCCCATGCCGTCCCCAGCCTGTCCAAGGGCCGGCTTGTCCAGGCTCCCTGCAGCTCCCAGCAAGCCAAGGGAATGCATGGAGGCGTGGCCTAATAAGCTGTGCTGTCAGGGGTGTGGCCTAATATGCTAATGAGTTCCTGCTGTTGGGTGTGGCTTATTATGCTAATGAGTTCCTGCTGGGCTTTTTCTACAAAAAAAAAAGCCCTGCTCGTGACCATTTCCAGACTGAAAATCCCCCCCCCTCCGGAAAAAAACACGAGATTAGTGCTTGACAGAGTGAGGATAGCCAGGGTGCCAGGCTTGACATCTGGGGGTCCAGGGACTCATTCTGAGGAACTATCCTCAGTTGCACCAGTGCAATTATGAAAGAAATTTCACTTGGAAGAGACGACAGGGCATTGAACAATCAGGGATTTTTCCCCCCTTGCCACAGGCTGGTTGCGTTGTTTGACTTTTCACTGCGACGGGCAACAGAGCCGAGATCAGAGCTGTGCATTTTTTTCAAAAGCGGAAGCATAGCAGGCGGTGCCGTTGCAGCGCATTGTTTACGGCTGAAATGGGCTAAGCCGAAAATAATGGAGTGACAGCTGGGAGGGAGGGAGGGAGGAGGGGGTGGTCTGTGGCGGGGAGGCAGCCGGCAGGAGCTTCGGGAAAGGGCAGTGGAAGCAGATCTTGGGAGGATGACAGCTTCACCATGGAAACAAAGGCCACACTGCAGAGCACAAGTCGGTTCCAGGGGTTGCTGTGGGGAAACGGCGGAGCCAAAGACAAGCCTGCGTGCTGGTGTGCAGGTCCGTACCGGAAACGTGCCTGTGATCTGTGGTGGAGAGAACGGCTTGGATGCAGAAAGAAACCCCCTCCCATAAAAAAAAAAAGGTTTTGCAAACTGGTCCCAACCAAGCCTCTTGTCTATTTCAGGGTTGCCAGCTAAAGTAATAAATAATAAATAAATAAATAAGAGTCAAAGCTTGCTTCATCAGACCTCTGACAAAGGGGGCTTGGACTCTCAAAAGCTTATTACTTGGGTAGACTGGCTGATCTTTAAGGTGCTGCAGGGCTCAGTTCTTGCTGTTCTACCAGGGGAGTGGATCTCTGTCGTCTGGAGATCAGTTAGAAAAGCAGGAGACCTCCCGGCCCCACGTGGAGGATGGCAGCCCTCTTGTCTCTTGTCATGGTCTGTGAGATGAGAGACATCCTCTGGGGAGTGGCCACTGAGTTAGCACCGGAGAGGAACTTCCAGCCCCGGAGTCTTGTTGAATGATCTGTCTGGGTCATGTTTCTGCTCCAGGGGTGGAAATGCCCTGAAAACGTGCTGGTGTCAGGACCCACAGCCAACAACGTAGTACACGCTTATCAGGAAAGGTAATACTTTATTGAAGAGGTAGGTAGGTAGGTAGGTAGGTAGATAGATAGATAGATAGATAGATAGATAGATAGATAGATAGATAGATAGATAGATCCTGAATGCGTTCCCTGCTCATGAAATGGGGTGGGGTTCCTTTCCTCTTCTCAGAGTACAGAGGTGATGTCCGCCACCAGGGAGCAGCAGGAACTGGGGACAGTTTTAGAAAGAGAAGTTGAACTCCTCTGCATTGGGGGGAGGCTGTGGCTCAGCGGACGAGCCTCTGCTTTACACGCTCTGGCTGTTGGCGCTGAAGCTGGGAACCAAGCTCACTCCCACAGTTCCCTTGGAACTAGACATCAACATCCCACCACCTGCAGAACTTAGAGATAAGCGCTGCAGCAGCGAAGAAGCACAGAAGGAATGCAAAGGCAATTAGAATACAACTGACCTCCCCAACCCCCATGGCAGCATAGCTGACAGCTGGGAACAATGCTTGGCTTTTCTAGGGCTACCAACTCTGGCTTGGGAAATTCCTGAAAAATGGGGGAAGCCATGGGGAGGGCAGGGTTTGCGGAGGGGAGGGGCCTCACAGAGTTCCACTTCTCAAGCAGCTGTTTTCTGCAGGGGAGCTGATCTCTGTTGCCTGGAGATTGTGATTCCAGATCTCGAGGCCTCCAAGCCCTGCTAGTTACTTGCAAGCATGCCCAGAAGAAGGTAAAGGAGAGCCTCCCCCCTTCCCTCCTTGAGGCGGCTCCTGTCTGGTGGAATGAGCTCCCAGAGCAGGTTCGGGCCCTGCGGGACCTGGTGCAGTTCCGCAGGTCCTGCAAGACGGAGCTCTTCCACCAGGCCTTTGCATAGGAGCCGCCGCCGTCAAGGTACCACCACCGAGTTGCCATCTTCTACGGTGGATTAGATCTGGAGGTGAGCCGGCCTAGTTGACTGAAGAATGTTTGTTGTCAGGTTAGGTTGATGAATGGAACTCATCTTGGATTAAGAAAATTTAACATCAAGAGCACCGCACTTTACTTAATGACTGTTTTATACTGTTTAATGATTGTTTTTATGTTGTTTTAATCGCTGTTATGGCAATTGCCTCTGTTGTAGCCGCCCTGGGCCCGTTGGGGAGGGCGGGGTATAAATCTAATAAATAAATAAATAAATAGATCCTGAATGCATTCCCTGCTAATGAAATGGCGTGGGGTTCCTTGCCCCTTCTAAGAGCACAGAGGTGATGTCCACCACCAGGGAGCAGCAGGAACTAGGGACAGTTTTAGAAAGAGAAGTTGAACTCCTCTGCTTTTGGGGGAGGCTGTGGCTCAGCGGAAGAGCCTCTGCTTTACACGTAGAAGGTCCCAGGGTCAGTCCCCGGCATATCCAGATGAAAAGATCAGGCAGTAAGTGTTGTGAAAGACTTGTGCCAGAGACCCTGGACAGCTGCTGCAGGACTGAGTAGTCAGTACTGAACCTGATGGGCCCGAGGGTCTGATTCAGTAGAAGGCAGCTTGATTTATGTTCATGTGTCCTTGTTTCACTTTCAATGATGGGTGGATGGAGAAGTCGGGGACTGGGAGTGCTAAGTGTGAGTGTGGAGTAAGGGCAGAGAAAGGGATGGCATTCTTCATCTTTCTTCTAACCCATCCAACTTGATAGCATTAACAAACAGAGCCCTGCGTGAGAACTTAAGGGGCAGCTCCCCTATGCCAGGTTCCAGAGAGAGAGGACTTGAATTTGGGTGATTGGCTTTTCCTTCCCTTGTTTTAGCAAACCCACATTGGAACATTACATTACATCCAGCTCAAAATATACTGTTAAGTTATAACCTTAACTGGTTATTTAGTTTTTCACTTCGCATAACTTAAACATCGTCATGTTACATGTTAATTTGCCGTTAAATCCCTGTCTGTAAGTTTAGAACCTCATCTGCCCTTCCAGTGTATTTGAAGAAGTGTGCCTTGCACACGGAAGCTCATCCCTTGGATAAACCTTTGTTGGGCTTAAAGGTGCCCAACTAGACTAATGCTTGCTCTACTTGTTCTACCATGTTGGAACAGAAATTCCCCTCTGCATTGCATGCCACTTTTTTTGATCATCGAGTTTTATGGTATTTTCTGCATAGATTTATGGCCGTTTTATGTCTGTTCAGGGGTGACTTTGCAGTCAGTACAGCATCGGCAGGGGTATTTGAATGTGGTTTTGAGCAGCACCTTTTTCTCAGTGTTGAGAAAATGTGGAGCAAATGCCGGATGCAGAACCGGTCTTTGTCTCAAACAACACTCGGCGCCAGTCTTCATCTTTTTCCTGCAGAGGTAACAGGCCTCACAGATTCATGCTCAAGATGGGCTGCTGGCAAATACCTGGCAGTAATTGGATCTTTCCTCTCCTCCTCTCTCCACCAGGATCATGCTGATATTGAATGGAAATTTGCACGCACAAAGCTCTGGATGAGTTACTTCGACGAAGGGGGCACCCTGCCGCCCCCTTTTAACATCATCCCCAGCCCCAAATCGTTCTGGTATCTCTGCAAGTGGATCCACAATCGGCTGTGCCCATCGATGGACCCAGAGAACGACAAGAAGAGGCACGAAAACCTGAAGACATTCACGGTAAGGAGGGTGGTTTGGCCGTCACTGCCGCTTTAGCATTTCCTCCTCTGCTTTGTGATGACATCATGACACATTTCCTGGCCAACTTTGGAAAATCTAAACCAGGGACGTTTGGGATCCCCTCCTGCCCCTGGAGTCTTTTGGTGTAGTGGTTAAGTGTGCGGACTCTAATCTGGGAGAACTGGGTTTGATTCCCCACTCCTCCACTTGCACCTGCTGGATGACCTTGGGCAAGCCATAGTTCTGATAAGAGCTGTTCTTGAAAATCCAATCTCTTCTTCTTCTTCTTCTTCTTCTTCTTCTTCTTCTTCTTCTTCTTCTTCTTCTTCTTCTTCTTCTCCTCCTCCTCCCTGCTGCCATCCTTTACTTGGTAAAAAATGAAACCTAAACAAGAAAACCAGACACAGACTTTGGTCATTTTTATGGGGCCTCAAGTTCTAATGGGTTGGATGCCCACAGATCTCCCCCACTGCAAGGAGCTCCTCTTCTCTCCCAAGAGCTTCTTTGCCACTCTTCGAGCCTCTGCAGGGCTCTTTTTGTAGCAGGAACTCCTTTGCATATTAGGCCACACACCCCTAATGTAGCCAATCCTCCAAGAGCTTACAGAGCTCTTCTCACAGGGGCTACTATAAAGCTCTTGGAGGATTGGCTACATTAGGGGTGTGTCACTTAATATGCAAATGAGTACCTGCTACAGGAGGGAAGGTTCCTTGCATTGGGGAAAAGGCCACCGTTGGCAGCACAGATGTGCAGGATCCAACCCAGTCCCCCCCCCCAGACCCTTCTTAGTCCTTGTCTTCCCCGTGAGATTGAACCTCTCTGTGACAGAAGTGTCAAACTCATTTGTTACATAAATGTCACTTTGTCGAGCCGGGACATGTATGCCATAAAATGTAATGCCAGGCACCAGAGATATAAACTGTATAAATGATATATAAACTTTATAAAGATATAAACTTTATAAAGATAGGAACTCTCGGTCTAGGGCAAGTGATGCTCTGTATCTCCTGATGGCACCTGGTATTTTTGGTGATGCACCTCCTGATGGCACATGGTATTTTGGCGGACTGGAGAGCCAGCAGTGCAGCGCTGGGCAGATGCTCCCGTGATGCTCGACTGCTGCAGACGAGGTTGTTCTGCCATGCTGAAGCCACCATGGAGTGGCTCCGCCCACTCCCCCCCCAGCACTTCCTCCCTTGCACCAGTTGCTCGCAGGCAACATAAAAGCCCTGAATGGGGCCAGTACCGGCCCCTGGGCCTTATGTTTGACACCCCTGTGCTGTGACATCAGAGCAGCCAGGTCTGCATGTGAGTTCTACAGGAGAGAAAGGTGTCAATACCTCCACAAACTTCTCCCACTGATACCAGAAGATTTGCAAAGTTGGCCACGGAACAGATGCCTTAGAGTGGAAAGCTGGCAATGCAATTGAGACCTGCTTAATACATACATGCTCTTCTCCTTTCAGGAACGTCATGCCGACAACTTAATTCAGAATCAACATTACCAGGTAAAGGGCCTTTCTTCACTCGGCAGCTTACCGTAATGCCTCGATTTGCGTTCGTCGGGACCTCGAGTGTCGCTTCAGGGGTGCCCCGGAGTTTTGCCGCTTTTGTGGCGCTTTCCCCCTTGGAGGGGCAGTCCCTGTCCCATCCTGCTTTTGAAACTCCTTTTGTGTTCGGAGCGTGTTTACCAGGCAGTGCGCAAAGCTATAGTTTGCAAAGCAAAAAGCTGCCACGGGTGCAGGTGCAGGTGGGAGCAGCTTTGGGATCCAGGCCAGGAGTTTGGTATTCTGCTCTGTTTTGGCACCAGATCAAGACTTCTCAGCAGCATTCCCATGCTGTCGATGTGTGCATTAATCAGAGTTGTGAAGAAATCTTGATACGCCCATGGAGCTGCATCAAGACTTCTCTTTCGCACTGGGACTTAGTGCACATATGCACTCGTGCAAATACGTGCACCCAGGGGTCATTTCCTGCCGGAGTACCCCGGAGCGGCGCTCCGGCAGTAAGGAGCCCAGGCCCCACCCCCTGCCCACGGAGAGACTCGGGGGGCAGCCGCAGGGCACCTGGAGAAGATTGGGCAGGGAACCCAGCCATGGGCTGGATGGTGCAACCGTTGGATGGATTCATGGTTGGTTGAAAAATCGTACCCAACGAGTGCTCGTAAATGGCTCTGCGTCTACGTGGAGGGAAGTATCAAGTGGAGTGCCGCAGGGCTTGGTCCTAGGCCTGGTGTTGTTCAATGTTTTTATAAATGACCTGGAAGAAGACATAGAGGGGGAAAGTGCAGAAAAGGGCAACTCGAATGATAAAACGGTTGGAACACTTTCCCTATGAGGAAAGGTTAAAGCACTTAGGGCTCTTTAGCTTGGAGAAACGACGACTGAGGGGTGACATGATTGAGGTTTATAAGATTATGCATGGGAAAGAGCAGGTAGAGAAAGAGGTACTTTTCTCCCTCACAATACAAGAAC